AACTGCGAAAGATGCACATTTGTACCGCGTACGACGTTGTCCATAGCTCATTAACTGAAATCAGTATTTGGCTATCTAAGCAAATTTATTACATTTCTAATCAGTAAATCATTAATAACGTTGAACCAGGTAAAATTGCATGTCTGTTCTAGTTGGTACACTTCATATCGCCACAGCAGAAAAGCAAATTAATATGACAAGAAGAAAATGAAAGAAACCAATCTCGACTGAGATGATTTCGTTATGGAAAATTCTGTCAAAAAGTAAACAGGTACAAGGCGTTTAATTCAGGACTTTAATGAAGACAAAAAATAAATACAAGCGTGTCACTGCAACCTATTCAGCACTATTTCACCCAGTGTCTCCAACTGTTTTTAGTATGCATTTCCATCGCTAATTAGTTGTAGCTAACATAATTTTTTAAGTGTACATCGTTCTTCATATCTCTACTTTTTTATTTGTTGCTATTCATTCTTGTGGCAAGTTAACAATTAGTTTATCGGTTACAGTTGTCAAATAATTATTTAAATTAAATCTAGTTATTCCTGGCAGCTTTCAAATTGCTTAGCACATGATAAGTTTTTACGATTACGCGAAATTTATTTCCACGATCTTTACGGTTCATCGCAATGTCAATATTACAAAATTCTTATTTGTCGAATACTGAAAGTGGATCCCAAACGTACGTGTCGATCGTTACATATTTGATTATATTGAATTCAGTCATAATAAATAACATTATTGATAAGTTTAACTAAACGTCCACCAATTCGATTCGCAATGTGTACACAAAATATTAGCATTTTGTTAGTTACAGTTAGTTTAAATCTCTTAGTTGTATATCCCCTATAGTACCACCAGTAAACAATATCTCAAATGTAGAAGCAACTTTTTATGCATGTTAACTAATTAAAACCAGTATCCATACTTTTACATAATAAAATTTATAAGATTTTTACCGTTTGAAATTCACGTATGTTAGTGTAATAATAGTTGCCTGTCTTCATTACTTTGATTAATCGGTTAAAATTAGTGTTTCTCCCAGTCAGCAGGCTTCATCGACCCAATCTTAATTATTTTGGAGATTTCCGGTTCTACTGTATTATTACCCAAGTAATGTACCTTTTTTATCTTGGATCTCCCATCTACATGGGACGGCATGTTTGATTTCAGTTGTCAACTACTGGTATAACAAAACGTTTTCACTAGCTAGATGTCGTGTGTACTAGTGTTTCGTCTTGGTTTACGTGGATTTAATTCTTACTCAAAAATATTAGCATTGCGATTACATTTTGGTCAGTCATAAGCAACATAGACCTTGGTAAAAATGCGCGTTAGTCCGAATTTCCATACCACATTAGAATGACGAGATAAATTTGATAGTAAAAACGAATAGAAAAAGTATTATTATCAATCGGAATGATGAAAAGTAAACACTGGAGAATGGTTTGAAATGAAAACATATGCTGGTCACATGCGTTATCCAAGCGATTCCTAAAAAATAATGTAACTAAAGTTCATCGTAAGTCAACATTGATTTCTTTTCTTCTAAGTTATATTAGAGAATTTCACATCCACAACAATAATACTGCCAATTCATATTGACATCAAGATTCTAAATGTAAATTTCGTTCTAGTTTTTTGTGTATTTCATTTTGCTTATAAAACAAAAATCAATCGATAGTTATTAGTGTTTCTTGTCAAAAACAATCCACTTTTCTAATCACTGACTGAATTCAATGTTTATTGATTTTTCGTTAGAAGTATAACTATAAATAAAAGATAAATAATTTTCTAGCTGAAATCATTACATTGCTGAATGTACTAATCAGCAGTAGCACATAATCAAAGAAATCATTCAAATAATTTCATCTCCAAAGACACCAGTCTATCTAATATGCCATAGTTCTGTTTGTCACTGTAAATTAGACACGTCATAGTCAGTTTTTCGAAGAAAAATATGTTATTAGACAGACACACTTAATTATATTACATCTAAACAAAATGGTTGCTTTTACCATTTATCCTAGCTGTTCGCATAACTGAAGTGAGTAGTGATCAAGCACCTACACATATGTACGACAGTCACTCAAATTGAATATTTTATGTTGTTCAAAAATATCTTATAGAATATTCTTTTCACAATTCTATAATGAGTTACATATCCGTGTAATTAGTTAATATCGATCTGTTACAAAATTTGTTTACAACATATTAAAATAAAATAGTTTCTACTTTTACAAAATTGGAATGATATTACCTTGTCGTTATATCACCGCAGTTTAGGTGAATTAAAACTATTCATGTTAACTTGGAAATAATACATACTATTCAATAATGTATCATAGTTTCATGGTTATTTGCTTACTAGTTTTAAAAATCCATTTATTTTCAACATACTAATACCGGATTTTGCAAAACGTTTGAGTTTATGGCCTTTATATATTGTCGGCTACTATAAACCTTTACTTAATGCAATTTTGTTGTGCTTTTCATGATTATTTTGAATATCGTATTTGTATGTAACAATCTTCAGTATGCATTTCCCAGTCTCGTAAAAGTTTCATTCTTTATCTATTCACACAAAATTATATACCTGCAAAAATTTTTCCACGAAAAAATAAATACTGGGGTTATCCGGCCTCGTTTTTATAACGCAGCCGACACTTATTGTTTGTTTACCTACAAAATAGTGTCCGTTAGGAAACGACAGTTGGATAACCCTTCCAGTATATTTATTTTGTTTATGACTTACAGTACATTATTCTACTTATAAAAGCTTCTTTATGTTACACATTTCTTAAAAATAAACAATATACTGATGTGACGTTTCTAGGTTAGTTTTAAATACTTTCTGTTGTGTTAGGTGGGCGATCGAGTACGATACAGGTATTTACACATGCCTGACCAGCTAATTGAGTGAGAAAAATAGGGACAAGTAGCCAGCTTTTGTTAGCTAACTCAAACCAAAATATATGTATAAACACATTCATAAATATCTATTTCCTTTGGGTAATCATGCCAACTCTTGATCCATTAAGTGCACCCGTCGACATATCTCATTTTTAGTTTGACCTATTATACCTGATTGGCGCAACTCTCAATATACCTTATCAATATGGATGTACTTATTAGGTAAGCTTATCTGTCCGGATTATTTAAATAACTGTGATGAGCTTTTCCATAATAGTATAACCAGTTGAAAAGTTTTCATAAATTTTTAATTTACACCATCGTCAAACTTCTTTATTCCCTCTGCCAAAGATGTAGTCATACAAGTGTTGACTGGTTTTTTTATCAAACATACTTTAATTCGTCAAGTGTGTTACTGTTGCTTATGAAAGTGGAATTAATTATTGAGCATTTTGGACATGTATTAACTAAATATGAAATTTATTACCGATAAATATTACTGTACCATATTCTGTTTTTATTACCAACTATCCGCTCATCACTGATATTGATCTTACATTATGAAGTACAACTGCCTTAACTTCTGTTTATTTAATTTCTACACCAATTAAAATACTATATATTCATATTTTGATATATGACCACGTACTGACAGTATTTCACCTTACATTCACTTTGGGATGACTGACTAGAAAATTCTTGTGTAATACTATGTCTGTAGCACATATACTCTCCACTTGTTCTTTACACTTATCACTAAACGTTGTATGCAGATATGATCTAAATGGTGGGGCCATAATTTATCAAGAAACCAATCAAATTTAAGACGGTGCCTCTTGGATTTTTGCGCGAAATCCATTAATCAAAATGACTACAATTCTGGCATCAAAATTGATGTCAGCTTGTGATGAAGACCCGAAATTCTAACTCTCACTCTGAATCCTAATTCATAATTCTACTGTTGATCCTAGGAAAATAGTTTGGAATTCTTTTGAAAACACTTTAGTATCAGAAGTAGTCGTCTACAAATTGTAGCCTCGCCGTTGCATTTATGCAAAAAAAAGCAAATAACTGATTGGTAGTTAGCAACTTTTTATAGTCTTGTTTAGGTGGTATATGAATATGAGTAAATTTGCACAAAGAGCTAATCGTCGCTTGTATGATGAGCATTCATTTTGCATTAGAATGTAGTTGATCATCTCATTAAAAGTATCAGTCTAATACTATGAAACATGATGTAGGATATCGTGCAATCTAACTTTCAAACACTAACGCTTCTACGTCTCAAATTATTTGAACCAGCAACTCAAGTTTATTGAACAACTACCACTAAAAGCTATACAATGCATTAGTTTCTCGTCACTGCTAAGTATAGAAAAGCTAATTAACCCTATCAGTAAATTTGCGTTTTCTATTAAAATTTTAATTTGTTCCATTTAGTGTCTTGATAAGTTTACATTTATTCTGCTGATCAATATTAATTAACTTAATGCACAATAAGCACGTGGCATTTGAAACCAAGAAATTTTGTGTGCTGAAATTCATGCTAAGCCTGATGACTTTTCTGAAATGCTTTTTTTCCTCTCACTCTGTTCATAAAAAGATGTTATGAAATGAAGAACTTAGCTTTAAGTTTTAAAAAACATGACACTTTCCTTTGGAAAAAAACTAGCATTCAACAATATCATCTGGTCTAAATTTCTAACCAAATGGATACCTACTGATTCCTTATTAAAATAAATTTACCGAATTATGCATGTTTATTTGGACAATGACCTTCACGTCCAGAATACACATAAATGTCCTTAAACGAACAGCTTAAATGCTTTAGTTTTTTCTATATTTCTCCATACTATCCAGTGTTTTCAACTAATACAACTGAAAACACCATGACTGTCTGAAACGTCAGTTTATTTTCTCGTGTCCCCCTCTACCCCCTTCGTTTTGATCACATACTGATCATTTTGCTGTTGTGGAAGCGCACAACAGTAAATTAGTCAACCCATTGTGTTTATAAATAGTTATGCAATTGTTAATTTCCATAAATCTAACTTAAACGTGAACTTGCTTCTTTGTCTATTTTTAAGTGCCTCAGGTACCGTTCGACTTGGTCGAAATAAAAGAACAGGACAAATTGTAGCTGTCAAAGTGATGAAACTAGATAAGCAGCCCAATCGCGATTTAATCGTTTCCGAAATTGCTGTCATGAAGCGCATACAACATGAAAATATCGTTAATTACTTAGCATCTTATTTATTAAGAAATGAAAACCAGCTATGGGTTGTGATGGAATACCTGGATGGTGGTGCACTGACAGATGTAGTCACTGAGACTGTCATGGCCCCAGACGTAATTGCCGCTGTTGTTCGGGAATGTGTAAAAGCCTTGGTATTTCTGCACGATCAAAATATAATACATAGGTATGATACATTGACCTCATGTTTTCTTGCTGTTTTTTTATCTCGTTCTAGGTATTAACAGGGCTGTAATAACAATTCCAGATATCACGTGGCTAACTTCTTTTCATCGCTATAAAAAACGTAATATTATAATCTACCCCACAAAGCAAACATTGTTATGGTATCTGAAAAAGTTCAAATATCATTTGAATTACTCCAACCTATAAAAAATAACTAGTCAATTTTTATGCACTGTGTTTTCAGTTCTTTCAAATCATTAATCACATTCGCAAAACTTACCTTTACTTTGACTCCATCAATAGGTGAATTTATTAATCTATTTTTACAAACCAAATTAGTAGATTTGCACACCTTTTAAGTATGTATAGCTATTTACAAGGGCATATGTTGTATAGATCAAAGTGTTTTATTGAAATTTAAATGATAGCATATTACTTCCCAGATTCAATGCAGTGATCTTCATAGAATTAACATGATTAAGTGGTTCTGGAACGTATATACTTACCGAAGATAATTTTTATCTGAATAGCTCACTAATGATTCCTTTAACTGCGACACAGTGGCATAGGTTTAAAACCCTAGTTACCAGAATTACCTTTCTAATCACTGATGAAGTGCATTACTATCGGATCTGATGACTTCCTGTCGATCAATTTTGAGAATCTACCACCAATTTGCATCACAAAGTGCAACTATTTAAGCTAATAATCACGTCGTAATGAAGATACAGTTGAACTAATCAATTCTTAACCAGTTTTTTCAGAAGTACCCTACAAGTCCTGTTCGTATAAGTCATATAAACTAGCACAAGTTATGAAGCTTGAAGATATGTTACAGTGAAGCAGTTTTTTTAAATAAGAATTACTATGCAAAAATCGAGTTGCTTCTTTTTTACCTCTAACCTACAACGCGGACCAAAATAAATCAATTTAATCACATTTTCACAGGGATATAAAATCTGACAATGTACTACTCGGAAAACAGGGTCAAGTCAAGGTCACCGATTTTGGATTTTGTGCTCAGCTTGGTAATCGGCAAAGTAAACGCCAAACCATGGTTGGAACTCCTTATTGGATGGCTCCTGAAGTTGTTTCGAAAACTGCAAATTATGGGCCGAAAATTGACATTTGGTCACTTGGCATTATGATCATTGAAATGTTGGATGGAGAACCACCTTATATGAATGAACCTCCACTAAAAGTATGTTAACTCATGTATTTATCACATTGTACAACTTATGAAAGTTTTTATCTTCTTGGATTATTTGGGTTAGTATTGTTCGACCGTAGAGCCTAAGGAAACTTGCCATTTGTTTAGAAAGACGTCGTCTGCTGATGACTAAAATGTTGTCCGTTCATGAAGACTCTATTTGAAAAAGATAAATTTATAGAAGTTTCTTCCACCCAAGCATTGTACCTCTCCAAAATGTTATATATTGACCTGTTTTTTCTATCCTGGTTTAAGCTCATTTCGTCTGAAGGCCATTGTTAATGATCAGCTAGTCAAACCAATGTAAGTAAATTTTAGCTCAAGCGTATCAACCTGTGCTTTGATTTTCGATCACTGAACCCATGATACGGAGTTCGCCAAATTTCGAGTGTTACCAGCTCATAAAAGTGACTAAACAAAACGTGTGCTTGACCAAATGATTTGCAACAACCATATCCGGTCAGCAATATAACTCTGGTGTCGGACTATCGAATGCAGGGTATTAGTTATCAGCATGATAGCAATTGATCCCACTTTCATACATCTTAAAACTTCAAGAAGAGAGTTTTCAAACAAGCATTTCTCAACTAGATTGTTGTAGTGGACGACTACTATTCTAGTGTCAAGAAATAAGTCTTAGCGACCACTCCAACAACTACTTGACAGACAAGACACACATATGGTCGAGTGTGTGCGCTGTCCAATCACTTTTTATAAGGTGTCAGGTGCAGTCTTTGTATCGAGCAAGTCCTAAACACCGAATGATATTCTGCGCCCAACCTTTGGAAATCCATTGAAATTTTTACGAACGGGGCTATTTCTCAAATTCGCGGTCTGTTCTAAATGGCCTTGGAAGCCTAAACCCGTGGTCCAAATAATAGTTACCTGACTGCTGATGCACGAACACCAACAATCACATTCTCTTCATTCTTCAAAACTCTGCCAAGACTACCTTAATATGCTTTTGCCCTACAAATAAACGATTACCGTAGGTCTCCTCGGAAATTTTAGGGAACGGAAGCAGCTCTCTATTACAGAGGCCTGTATGCAGCTTCAAGGTAATCCTGTTGGGCTCCTCCGTTGTTGAACACTGATCCATTTTATGACCTTAATTAGTCGCATCAGCTCCTAGCTTCAATTGGCCACGTACTCAACGACTCCTATCCACTGATAAACATCTTCATCTTCCTCCCTATGTTAGTAGTACTGCTTAAATTTGAGTAAATAAGTATTATCACTAGCCTTTGCACCAAATGTGTAACTTAAAACCATATACGCTAACTTTTATTTAACAAAGGAGTTGTATTGATTCATTTAACTAAGTATCTGTTCCTGAATTGTTTTACTCTACGATCGCTACTAACTCGGCTCCATTAAGTATAATGCCCAGTACACCGTCCACTGGTCTCCAAGAGATCAATACGCCGGATAGGGGTGTATTAGGTTGTCTTCAGATTTCCGTGTAGACAAGCGGACAATGTAATGGCTTTCAACTACTTATTTCTTATCAACAGTTTCAAACTTACTGAGTGACCACCTAACCCTGTTAACGTTAACATCAACATAAAAATAGACGCACAAATCATCACACTAATTACTGTTAGGTGAGGTCTTTAGAGGTTCTCACTAATCACAGATTACCTGTTCATATTTTGATAATGATCATCATATGTCTGTGAAGAAAGCAGACTGCAGGAAAGTCTATTAACCTTCGGCTTGACGATAAAGTCAAGAAATAAGCTAAGCATTAAACTAGAGATGACTCAACTGCTGTGAGGAACAACTAAAATAGCCAAATTTAGTTGGTATTCAAAAATCGATGTCCCCCCATGCCATATGAAATGATTAGAGCACAAATATTTATCCTGGTTGATTACGACCATAATGAAGAGTAGAAACAGCCTCTACAGATAAGCAAATGGTAGTACGTAAAAAAAGCGGAAGTAGTGCAGCATGCTCGAGGTTATTCCACCGGAAGAAATACGAATGTATTCAATCTTCGTATATTTTATATTATACGTTTCACTACTGGTCAAAATTTTATATGGATATCTTATTTTTGTTTATTTATGTGTATCATATCATGAATTATGACAACTTGGGTAATGAGTCTTCATCCAACATAAGATGTTGATGTTTCTTAGTGTTAATCACAAAACCTAAAATCGAAGAATTAATCGGTATACTCTACCTTCAAACGCAAGCCAAAATACTATTGAACTTAGTCACCTGTTGCTGATCTTAGCTGTTATCGGCTTCGTCTAAAGGAATTTGAAAGGGATACAGTTATAGTATCTTCCTAAATACAGTTTGTACGTCTAAGGTTATTGCAAAAATCTAGCCACAGTGTTAGTACAAACATGTTAACGCCTACATTGTTTGTGTAAAAACAGCAAGTATGAAGTAAAAGAAATTTTCACTGCTTACATTCCAATTGTCCTTAAACAGATTTCGCTACTAATATCATTTTCTGTTTCTTCAAGCTATTAAACATGCCGACTCGAGTATATTGTCTCATCCTTTTGTGAAACACATTTTAATTTGTTTACTATCACTGACACTACTAATTTACAAGTTCTACATGTGAATGTTTTGAAAGCACTAATTCTTACTTCACATTCAAACTATAATTTCCTACTAAAGCAGATAGTTCTATGTAAATAGAAAGGCTTATGTTGTTACTTATCGCAGACTAGTCGCTGATTAAATTAGAAATTGAAAAGTTTGCTACTAGTGATTATTGTAAAGTCTATTTCAATTTTAAAGTAACGAAAATTCTTGCATTACTCAGGCAATATACCTCATTCAAACAATGGGAAAACCTAGACCCAAAACCAAGAACTTGCACCCGATGCTTCAAGATTTTTTGGACAGATGTCTAGTCGTAGATCCTGTAAGACGAGCTTCTGCAAAGGAACTGCTTAACCACGATTTTTTTAAGCATGCGGGAGCTTGTCTTCTCTTGGACCGCTTATTCGTGCAGCACGAGAGAGTCTTGGAAAAAAGGAATAAGAACGCAAAAACTTGACATCTAGCATCAATCATGACGGAGCTAAAAACCATCGAGTAAACCGGACAATTATTATCATAAATATTTCTGTCCGCCTGTTTAGTTTCACAAAGATTTCTAACAGGAATATCATTTTTATTGTTACTCAGTTTTTGAAAGTTCGAATCCATCACACATCTATATTTTGTATGCTTTGACTCACACTTTACCTACAAGCCTAATTCAGTTTTTAACCTAGATTAACCTGTAATTGCTAAATCCTGGCTGCTGTCTTTTTTATTATTTCAATCAAGTCTTTCTGCTGCTTTGCGAATGAATCGTGAAGTAGTTCATCCCGATTTTTTGAATGATCATTAATATGTAATCTTGATTTCTTCCTGTAATAGTCTACTACGCTTAGAAAAATAAAAGTACTAACAACTTTTTTTACAAAAGCAATAAACCATTTTTGACTATTTTTATATGAGGTTCGTACACCAGTTTTTAATTATGCATACCGACTAGCGTGGGCTAAGTTAAATACATTTACTACGTCTGAAGAATAAAGAGAATCATTTTGGTAACGAAAATAAATATTGACACGAATACCTGGAGATTAGAGTCAAGAAAATAAGTATTATGGACAAGTTTGCAGGTTAAACACGGAGATACTATCACAGTTGGATCCCGCAGATATTCCGTCTCTAAACGTCTTCCAAAACCATAGGCTGGAAAGTAAAATATACGACTGTAAATATAACGGAATTGGTAGTTAAAAAGCAAAAGGTTTATTTAGGTATCAGCTAGTGCTGATCAATCATTGTTTCTAAAACACCATTATACTTACGCTACTCCGTCCAGCGCTCATGGTGCTTGCTAATATGCCTCTTTGATACCTCCAAGTCATGTGTTCCAAATCAGGCACGGCAGTGCAGTAAACAATTTCTACAAGAAAATTAAAACCGTGAGCAGCTTAGTTACTGTGTAATTAAATAGCTCGGAATATTTCTCAAAGTATGAATAGACGCGTTAAACGTTTTTGAGACAGCCTCTTATATTGTATCATTTAACAGGTTGTGTGGACTGTGTTAGACGAATGAATTACTTAACTATGATCTTGACCATGTGTACATCAGGCACATATATTACGTTCTTAAATAAAATAAACAGAACTAACACAAGACCTCTTAAAAAACATCCATATAAATCGATGTTTCAAGACAGTAAATAGTGAAAAAAAATCAACAGGATTGAGACGATCAAAACAAGTCTTAATATATGTGAAGTAAAATAAGTAGGATAATTACAATCTGGGGTCAAATAAACCTACTTGTATTCCTGAAACCTACTTCAATTTGTGTCATTCTAAAACCTTAGCTTCCATTTTGGAGCCGAAGATAAATTTGTCATGGGTTCTTCTAGAACTAAAACGAAGGAAATTTGGTCACTCATGACTAGCTTCAAACCTACATGTTAACCCAAGTTCTTATAACATGTCAATACAAAAAAATGAGGATGACCATGGTCATCATAATACTAGTATCAGTAACAGTGGGAAACACTAGACTGGACACTGCTTGAGGAAAGGATGAACTCGAAGAACACCAGACACTATGTAAAACTGAAGCTTAGGACTTAAGAGGATAGCTTGGGAAATAAATTACTTGACTTCAAACAGTCCAATCCCAGATCTGACTCATTTAGGTCTTAAGATCCTGGCAGTATCACTGGATCTCAGAGTGTACGTCAAAAGCGAGTGTACAAATCTCTACTGAGTTTATCACTGTGTACAGAATGATAGACAACACAAAATAAAACATGGATAATCTTCCGGGATGCCACGATAGTGATGTACGAAAGTACCAAGGAATGGGAAGAATGTTAACCATGGTAGGGAAATGAACGTAGATATGGCTCGAAATGATGCATGGATTGAATAGGGAAGTATGGAATGATGAGGATATACGAAGATAACGAACAAATACAAATACGTTGGATTTCGAGTCATATTAGTTAGTTTTAGAAGACCGAGACCAGAATGTTTACCACTTTTCACACAATTTAGACTAGTAAAAAGGATTTTAATGACCGTTATCTTTTGGTTATTTCATGCCTTGTTCCAAACTACTCATGCTAGACCAAAGAAGGAACGTAGTAAATCAGTGGCTATGCAAACGGTAAGTGTAGATCTTCACGTGACAAGTTACGCAATGACTAAAATTTGAGTGAGTTTTCTCCTGTTTCAAATATCAGTTGAAAGGGACAATTTCCTACTGCATAATATTTCACATTTTAGAATATATGATAAAGATTTACAGCTCAGGTAAATGCTTTCGATATCTGCAACACTAGTAATTAGCAGCATTTTCTACATAAATACTAACTCTCCCCTACCACATATCTGTTGTGTGCCATATAATTTAATGTAACAAGTAACTTGAGCCAGTCACGTTCATACCCTCAATAGCCCAAGTGCACTATGACCGCTGAGGCTACGAATTTACAAATGGTACTGAGCTTAGTAAATCTCACAAAAGAACCCTCTGGTTTCTCATGCTTGATATGCCAAAAACTGTACATATTACTCACTAATTGACACTATGAATGTCACTGCATGACTCATTAAAATAAACATGAATTTATTAAGGGTATAATAGCAGATGAACCTGCACAAAGTATTTACGAAACGAACTATTATTTAAGTGACAAAACTTTCATGTAAAAATAACTAACCCCCAAACCTATCGCCATTGGGTAGACAGAAAGACAACGCCCCGACGACAGGACATTGGTAAGTTAGCTGGAGGTTTGGAGGAGTGATATTTAATGTTAGGTCTATAATTTGGCGCGGAGGAATTGGAAGAATGGGGATTCTGCCATCTACACCGATTGGAAGCCATAGAACTTCACTGTTATCTGCAGATAAGCTGTTAAGTCGAGCAACAGCATGGTCTATCTGCTTACAAATGTGGTTAAAATAATTATGAACGGGCACTAACTTCAGACCGTAGGAACGTTCCTTCAGGCCAGGAACAAGAACCGCAGTTCTCGACAGTTACTTTGATAAACCCACCAAGTTCCGGAACATCATAAGGTGATGGCCACACCCGTGCATCGAATTGTCTTTGGTTTACCACAACTTCAGAATCTATACGCATGCAGTCCACATTCGTAGATGATTCGCAAACACTCACGGAAGTGAGTGGGTAATTCGATGCACAACTAACTGGTGCGGAACCCTCAAAACTGAAATCAAAGTAAGCACCGATTGCACGTTGCAGGTTCCTTAAGCACTAGTATTATCAGATTTTTTTACTTTACCAGTCGGCCAATTCTAAGAAAAACCGACACGACTCGTTAGATAGCTCATTCCCAACAACTGCTTTTAGTTGATTTATTAACTCATCCTTGTCTGTTGTACCAAGTGCACTAAACTGTTCTAGTAGTTTGGCATCTATGTCAAACATTCTGATTCTTATCGTCAGACCCTGCCTTCCATTTCGCCCGCAAAATTCGAACGTAGCGCACTCTCAAGGACACAAGTCATCCAAACCAACATCTGTGTGACTAGCAGGATGGCGGGAATAAATGTCAGTATTATTGACAGAAAATAGTTCCAAGACGCATTTTTTATTAAGGGTGCAAGGTGAGGAGATAGGAAAGATTTTTGGCATCATAAGTGTTGATGAAACAGGCACCATTATCACTGAGGATATATTTCAAATCATTACCTACATAACATTGAGGGCGTTAGATTCTCTCAGTAAACTAGTGTGGTGTTTGTACTAAATGGTAATTCTTTTGCACTTGATCGCACACTTATTACGGATTACAAATATAATACTTTGACTAGTTTCACCTGAAAATCCCAAAAACCGATCCCGGTTCGTGATGATTCTCTGATTATCATGTATCAGACTGCAGAACGAAGATGACGAGGTATTTCGGGAGAATTTTAGTGTTTCTCTCAGACGTTTCAAAGTTAAACTACTATCAGTCATGTTACTTACTCAATGGGATGATAATAGATACCCAAACTTTGCAAAACTGCTTGTCATTCTTGATAATACTGTGTACGTGGGCGGTGTTGTTCTGACTAATTACTTCTTTGGGTCAGATAGAAATACGTAAGCACCGTCGGATAGACCATATTTGGAACACGCTCTTAGCAAAACTATCCCAAAGGCAACTGATGAGGCGTTCTTTCGATGAATGAAGATTATTGCTCCAAGTGTCTCGAAAAGGCGGACACTGATAACGCAATCTATAAAACTCAGAAGAAGAAATTTATGGAGTATTTCGTGGAGCGTTAGAACAACTTTGGCCCAAAACTGGTACGATTGTTAAAAATTGACGGAAAAGTGAAAGAATCTGGCTAAAAAATAAAATCTCCTTTGGAGTAAATGCCGGTGAAAAACCAAGGAAAAGTCTCGTAGATGCGTTTGAAAGCGTAGTATGATTGATTGACTAGCGTATGATGGTTTTGAACAGATAGTGAGAGGAAGGCATGATGACCAACAAGGTAGAGTCGATTACCATGGTGTTCGCATGATACAATTGCGGTTAGTAAAGGATTATGTTTGTTAGAAGTCAATCTTGTCATCTGTGGCCACATGCTTGAAGGTCTCCAAAGAAATATATATCTGAACAACGTTTATATTTTTTTCAATTGCTTGGTGGTACGGCTGATTATTCTGATGGCACTATGGCTAAGATAAGCGAGCGTTTATTATATTATTGAGTTCACTGAAGTGCAGTATTTCAACAAGAACTTATGGTGGAGTAAGTTGACATCACCTTGAAATTCAAGCGCTCCATCTGGAGATGTGGTTCGAAAAGTTTCCTAATTATTGACCTTTACGTGAGAAAAGATTTCACTGCAACTCGTGGTATGCTAGACTTTTCGTGGGGGGAGTTCAACAATTCTAGCTGGTTCTATCCTTATCCAGAAACAGTGGTTTTACCTCAAGTTATTCATATGAAAATAAAGATTTTACTTGATATCACACAACTAAATACCAGGTCTTTGAATCCTTTGAAGGATCTCGATTGATCACATGCTATAAATGATGTGCGATTAAAGGTGAACTATGTTAATTAACCTCTGATAGTCACCTACAGTTGAATTAAATGATGAATAATACCTAACACTTTCGCCAGCGCTCCTTGTAATCTTTTGTTTTAGGTAACTGAAAGTAAATATCCTGATGCCTCCTTGCAGAGCAACAGAAGATTACGTAGGGGACCTTGAATAAAATTCACAACGATATAGTCTATTCAGATAATTACATAGCGCTCGATTCGCCTCCATCTTCCAAACCCTCGGTTACTTTAATACTTGAGGTCTCATTCTGATTCCTGCCCACAAGTATTTAGTACAACTGCTTGCTGTAAATTTCACTTTAGCTGAATGAATCATGTAGTACATGAGATGCAAACATGAGCACATGAAGTTGATAACTAAGCCATGGACGTTTGAAA